CCCCAAAACCCCAAAACCCCAAAACCCCAAAACCCCTTTTTATTTTGTAAGAATAGTATAATAATCATTCAAAATGGATTCAAACAAGGATATTATCTCAACTGGCATTAAGGAAGAAACTCAGGTCACCCAGAAGGTAATGAGAATGTCTAAAAGCACTTTTCAGATAATTTTAACATGTTTAGACATATTTTTGCCTCTTTTTAGCACGAGAGTTGCGCAACTTTATATAATAAGTTGGTAGTAAAAATTTCAAATTCGAAATTGTTAATTGTAGCGAAGAAAATAATATTTTCTTTAGAAGATCGAGGAGAGATGTGCTCGTAGAATTATTAGGGAAGGATCTACCGAATCAGGGTGCGGCTCAACTCTTTCAAGCACATTAAATGCATTCAGTTCCAGTTATAATGATTGCGCAGGATCTATTTGGAGAGATGAGAGGAATGACTCACCCGCTTATATGCCAACCATATGTGATGGTCCAAGATCTCTTGGATCTACTAGGCTCACCTTGCAAACAACACAACCAGCTAATCAGCAAGAAATTGTTCCTGATTTCTTCAACTTAAAGGAATCTCATGAAGTTGGTTTTCCAGATATAGACCTTGGGAGCTTTTCAACTAATGAAGAGAACCAATCAAAAGCATTTTCATTTGATCCTGCTCAGTTTGCAAAATCAAATTATAGTTGCTCAAGTATTAACTTAGACAAAGAAGAGAAGAAATCTTGAGTAAATCTCAACTCTGATCAACAAGTAATTTCTCCTATGAAGAATCTGTTCTCTAACTGAAACACTCGCAAAGAGTTGACAACCTCTAGTACGAATAAGGGAGGTGGTCTTTCACCAACTCAAGAAGTGAGAATGTCACCTAATTCATCGAAGAGTTCAAAGACAAGGTTAAAGAGGGGAGAGACCCAGAAATATTTATTATCAAGGACTGCTGAAGAAATTGTATTAAATACTCTATGGGGCTTATTCATTAGATACATACGGAATAATGGCCCACAGCCTTTATATATTCTAGAAAAGTTGGCACAAACTGAGTTTAAGAACATCAGGAAACTGTCAGGACATCCCTACACTGGGAATATCAAGAAATCAGTGAAAGGTGCTCTTACTTCGAATGGACTATTTAAAATTTGAGAGAAAAATGAAGGTGAACCTAATGTAAACTCTTGGTCTCACTCTTCAAAGACTGCCAAAATCACTGAGGAAACTATTTGGAAGATCAATGAAAAAGCAGCTGAAGAATTTATTCAAGACAAAGTTCAGAAAGTATCACAGCAAAGGACGAAGCTTATGAAGAAACAATCCTCAAGAATTGAAGTGCAAGAAGAGAGTAAAGAATCTGAAAATTCTCGTATTGCCCCATACAAAGACATTATTTCAAAGTTGGATATTATGATATCAGCTTTAACTCCTTTGCAATCCAAAGGTCTATCTGACTTACAATCAAATGCAGATGCTCTTTTCCAACCTCCTTCTGCAGAAGGTGATAGTAAGCTCTCTGATTATCAGAGAGGAGCTATTGACTTATATTCCTTCTTCAGAGAGCCGCTTCGGTCAGGAAAACTGGCAAAGCTAAACTGAGGTATAGAGAATTTATGTAAAAATGTAGATTCTCTTCGTAAAAAGTTGTAAATCCTTCAGCATAACCTGAGTCAAGGATTTATTCCTCATCTCTATCCATAACGATAGAACCCCTTTACCAATATAAGCTCATATAAGAGTTCAACCAATTGTGAGGAATCAGGGGTTTTGGGGTTTTGGGGTTTTGGGGTTTTGGGG